TTTCCCCACCAGCCATAATTTTATAGACCTGCTATCATATCCCCCTTATTCAGCTATTTTCCAAGGTAAAGAGTCCCAGTCTTTTTAATCTCTCCTGAAATGGAAGTTGTTTCATACCCCTCATAATTTTTGTTGCCCTTTTCTGAACGTTTTCCAATGCCAAGATATCTTTTTTGATCTGAATTCAGTATTCACTATGTGGGCGTACCATGGATTTATGTAGAGACAATCGGATGTTTCTTGTTTTATTCTCTATCCCTATCCTAATGATGCCCGACATTCTGTTTTTGCTTCTTCTCTTCTACCCAGTTGCATAGCCTATGAGCTGTTTGGGGTGGGGGTGGGGGTGGGGGGAACGTCCTCCAGAGCCTGTTGCTATAGCTCCAGAAGGGCTCATGGCACTAGTCCTCCACAGAGCTGAGCCAGGTCTTGGTTCACCAGCACCTTGCTGTAGAGCAGGGGTGGGCAAGATCTGGCCCACTAAACCTTTGGATCCAGCCTGCGATTAAGCTGGGGGTAGGTTAGGGAGCGAAGTCCCCTCTTCCCCCATGCGCGGCGTATGGAGCAGCTAGCTCCTGTGAGCAGCCTGCGGTTGTGGCAGACAGGGAGCCTGCCTGAAGGCCCCAATGGGCAGCTGGCTGGGAGCCACCTATGTCAGCACCTCCTGGCCAAAGTTTGCATCTGGCATCTTATGCCCTCCCAAAACCCATCTCCCTGTCCCAGGTCACCACTCAAACACCCTGCTCTCTTTCTCTTGCAGGTCACAAATCCCTCCAAACACCACAGCCTGTCTTACACCCCTCTCCCAGGCCAGAATCCCCTTCTGTACCCCCACCTCCTCCCAGACCCTGCACCCCAATCTCCTGCCCTGGGTCACAACCTCCTTTTACCCAAAGTTCCTCTCAGACCCATACCTTCCCCTGAACTCTAATCCTCTACTCCAGGCTCCCTTCTGCACTAGGAATAACCCCTGGAAAGCTCAGCTGTTACAAGGTAACACCTCCCTCCCCCCCCAGAGCAGCTGCCAGCTCCTAGGGAGCCACCGTGCGCTGGAAACTGGTTTTTGAGCTGATCTAGAGGTAGCAGCGTGGGGTGGCAGCCGGCAGCGTGGGAAGTTGTGTGTTAATGTGAATATTAATGATAAATCCAGGCTTATCAATTAACCGTTTACTTGATTGTATGGTCACAGACCAATTCTGCAGCCAACCTCCCTCCCAGACCCTGCACTCTCTCCTTAGACAAGTGTGGCCCTTAACTACTTACCAAACTCTTAGAGTGGCCTCCCCATCAAAAATCATTGCGCACCCCAGCTGTAGTAAAATCTATTTGGTGCCACATAGGCCCCCAGAAGGACCGGACCAGGGAGGGACATACAGCTTTTGCAGCATGAAACAGTAGTGCCTGAACCAAGGCTCACTGAAGTCATTCAGAGCTGCCTGTTGGCCTTAGAGCAAACCCCGAGTCCTGTCGCTGGCTCGGACCATAAAGGACCAGCCACGAGAGGGGGGACACTGTCAGGTGGCACAAACCAATGGTGGATCCTCAGCTCAGGCGGGACGAGGGTCGGGCCTATCAGCAGCTCGTAGGAGATTGGCTGACAGTTCCTGGGTAACGTAGTACAGCCAATAAGAGCTCTCTCTCTCTCTCGCTTGGCCTCTCATAGAAAGCTGCTGGGGGATTTGCCTCCGTCCTGGAGCAGACGTCCTCCGGGTCGAACCTGAGCACAGAATCAGCAGCTCGTAGGAGATTGGCTGACAGTTCCTGGGTAACGTAGTACAGCCAATAAGAGCTCTCTCTCTCTCTCGCTTGGCCTCTCATAGAAAGCTGCTGGGGGATTTGCCTCCGTCCTGGAGCAGACGTCCTCCTGGTCGAACCTGAGCACAGAGCAGCTCTCCGTCTTCGCCACCATCGTCCTGCACAACGTGGAGAGGATTGTGATGGACATTCTCACCAACCCCACCGAGAACGGGAACTTGACCTTCCACGCAGAGCAGCTGGGTAGGAAGCCAGGCCTGGAGGGGGACAAGACAGGGCACCAGGGCAGGGAGAGGTGGCAGCTGCAAATCAGAAGCAGCATGACTCTGAAAAAGTAGGGGTGGAGCCTGCCTGGGGACCAATCAGCAGGTACCATATCCAGTCAGCACATTTCACTGTGGCCTCCTTATTATGAGAATTACGGTAGCACCTAGAATCCTCTGCTCAGACTGGTGCCTGGTTGTGGGCGGCGCTGCCCAGACACAGAGGGAGAGACGGTCTCTGCTGTGAATAGCTTACAATGCAGATTGACAAAGGCTCATTATTTCCATTTGACAGAGGGGGAAATTGAGGCAGGGAGCTGCAGTAACTGCCTGAGGTCATGCAGGGCGTCTGTGATGGAGCTGACAGCTCCCCTGGGATTTCCTGCATCCCCAGTGATTGCCTGATTCACAAAGCCATACCCCTGACCCCCAGCTCTTGAGGCTCCAGCCAGTGTGTGCAGAAGGCTGCAGGTCCCATTCTCAAGCCAGGCCTCATCCCCATCTCCCATCTACAGCTCCTCAATCCCCCCTTGTTCCTAATGCCCTGGGGGGGCACTGTCCAGTACCACATTAAACTTTGTCCTTGTCTCTTTCCTGTGGGCACAAAACCTCTTCCCCTCTTAGCTGGATGGTTCCGTCTGTCTCCGCCGTCCCCTGCTGCTCTGCTTGGCCGACGGCCCCTGTTGAAGGAGTCATAGTGTTTATCAGACTGTGCTCTTCCCTCCTCTCCTTAGATGTCCGGACCACATTAATCGGGGACGGCTGCAGCAGGGAGGACTCAGTCATCAGCCTGAGAGCCAAAGGAGACACCATGGAGATTAGCTGCAGAATGGTTCAGGGATCAACAGCACAAGGTACCTCATCACTGCCAGCAGGCATGGACTGGTGTGTGACGGACACTTCTCAGCTTCCCCGTTCAGGTTGGGAGTGGGGTGGGCTCCCACCAAGGGGCAGTTTTACACAGTTAAAGTACTGGAGGTTTGAAACCCCCTGAAGCAGGAGATTCCAACTTAGATGGAGCACTGCTCTGTGCCGATATAGATGGAGATGGGAAATCCAACTAGATGGACTATTGATCTCATTCGGGATGGCAGCAGTATGGGACCAGGCCTCTGTGCTGTGTTGACAATTCCTGGTTCTTAAGCCAGGGACAAATATAAATTCCTTCTGTCCTAGTCAAGCCTGCTAGAATAAAGGGAACCAGAAGAATAAAGAACAAGGGCTGGCAGGGACTGTTCCATCTCCACGGCTCTTCCAAGGAAAACGGAGTGCTAAGAAAGCGCAGTGCTTCAGGAAGTGGCTGATTTCTGCACAACGCTTAGATTGTGTGGAACAACTGGCTGCTAAAAATGCCCTCAGCCTGAACAGTTGTTCTGCTTGATTCTGAAATCATGAGCCTGTTGCCTCATTCTCCCATGGGCCTGACTCTCCAGTCAGACTTCATCTCTCATGAGGCACTGTGGCTAGAAGTTTCTCACGGTGCATCATGGGAGATTCAGTCCAACCAGGGAGCCAGTCTCATAGAGAAGAAATGGGAGCACCTGAACCACAACTCCCACGAGACATTGCGGTGGCATTTTCAAACCAAACATTTAGTTTCATTTGTTTTGTCCCAAACTCAAGATTTTCACTAGTCAGCTCTGTTAATATCAGATGTTCAAGTCCCTAGAAGGGTGTTACAAGGAGGATGGAGAAAAAAATATTCTTCTTAACCTCTGGTGATAGCACAAGAAGCAATGGACTTAAATTGCAGTTAAGGGGGTTTAGGTTGGACATTAGGAAAAACTTCCTGTCAGAGTGGTTGAACACTGGCAGAAATTCCCTAGGAATCTGCATCCTTGGAGCTATTTAAGAGCAAGTTAGACAAACACTTGTCAGGGATGATTTGGTACTTGGTGAGTGCAGGGGACTGGACTAGCTGTCCTCTTGAGATCCCTTCCAGTTCTAGTATCCTGTGACTCTATTTTTTGAGAAGAAAGTTCTTGGGGTCTCACTGTTTGGGGGGAATTTAAGAGCCACCCACCCCTTATAACACTCTAACATTAAAACAAAGCCCCAAAGTTAAGGAGTTCCCAATGTATTGTGTATTTAGAGCCCGTTTCCCTTGGTGCATCAGGGAAGATGCAGTCCAACCAGGGAGCCAGGCTCATAGAGGAGAAATGGGAGCACCTGAACCACAACTCCCACGAGACATTGCGGTGGCATTTTCAAACCAAACATTTAGTTTCATTTGTTTTGTCCCAAACTCAAGATTTTCACTAGTCAGCTCTGTTAATATCAGATGTTCAAGTCCCTAGAAGGGTGTTACAAGGAGGATGGAGAAAAAAATATTCTTCTTAACCTCTGGTGATAGCACAAGAAGCAATGGACTTAAATTGCAGTTAAGGGGGTTTAGGTTGGACATTAGGAAAAACTTCCTGTCAGAGTGGTTGAACACTGGCAGAAATTCCCTAGGAATCTGGCGGTCATGAAATCTTTATCCTTGGAGCTATTTAAGAGCAGGTTAGACAAACACCTGTCAGGGACGATCTAGATCAGGGCTACTCAACACACATCTCATGGGCCACATGAAACCTACAGCCCATTTGTTTGTGGCCTGTGGTGCGGTTTGGGTTTACACAGGGCTCAACCCAGAACCTGCAGGTGGGATGCTTTGAACATGGTCTCCTCTGGGAACACGCTCCACAATGGCGAAGCATCTCCCAGGCTCGGTGAGCACTGAACAACACAAGCGGACGGGCTGGCTGGAACAGACGGGTATACGGTGTCAGCGTTTCTAGCCCCCAGGGAGGAAGTCCATGAGCACCAGGGCATTGTGGGAAGTGTTGGCTGCTAAGTCTTGTTGGCAGAGCCTGAGAGGTGCTGACTGCCTTATACTGGCCACATTTGGGTCCGATGCCACGGCTTAAGCCTTAATCTTGGTATTCATGTCTGTCAGTGTGAAAGAAGCTATTTGCATATATTTGCATGTATATTTTCATCAATATACAACCACATTTAAGTTGCAGCCCTCGGCATGTGCTGTGAATATCATTGTGACCCCTGGGGCTTCCAAAGTTGAGTAGCCCTGATTAAGTGTGTGGTGAGTTCAGGAGACTGGACTTGATGTCCTCTTGAAGTCCCTTCCAGTTCTAGTATTCTGTGACGCTGTGTTTTGATAAGACAGCTCTCGGGGACTCTCCAAAAACTGCCTCACAGTTTGGGGGGAATTGAAGAGCCACCCATCCCATCTAACATTAAAACAAAGACCCCAAATTAAGGAGTTCTCTACGTGTTGTGTATTTAGAGACCTCTCCCCCATCTTGTTGCCAGTGCCGTCTGCGCTGCAGCGACAAGTAAACGTGTTGCTATTCACACACCTGGGTTCTCTTCTCAGCTACATTGAAGCAGAACATTACCCCACACCTGGAGCGGGTCTGGGGGGTTGCACAGCACGGTGGACGTGGGGAAAAAAGCTGCCAACCCACCCGGTTTCTCCTTGGGGACACTTGCAGGCGCGGCTGGAGTGGCTTTTGCCTCCTATGAAGGCATGGAAACCATCATGAACGGCAGCTTCTTCCAAGGCCAGAAGGCCACCTCTGGCCGCACCATCCAGATGATTTCCAGGGTGGTGAGTGCCTGGCTGACCAGCCAGACCAAGATCAAAGTCACAGATCCAGTGAATTACACCTTCCAGCACATCATGGTAAGTCCCTCCATGAGCGGCCGTTGCAGTTGAGCCTGGATTTTCAGGAGCAGCCTGGCTCCTCTGGGGGTAAATGGCTCTGAATTAGCTCTCAGGTGGGGAGGGATTCCTGTGTTCTTCCCCAAGTGCATTAACAGGCCACCTCCATTAACCAAGGCTCAGGAGCAGACTCGTAAATGTCCAGTCCCTGGACTTGGGAAGCAGGAGAAGTGAGCAAAGAGGAACACAGGGCAGACAGTGTGTCCTAGTGGATAGAGCACTGGTGGAGGACTTGGCTTCTATTCCTGGTTCTGCTGGACGACTTTCATCTTCACATACACACACAACCTTGCTCCATGCCTCAGTTTCCCCACTTGTGAAATGGGGCTAATTATAGTGACCTTTATAAAGAGCTTTTCTTGACAGAGGGGGAGAAATGCACGGATTAATATGAGGAGAAGGAAAAGTTCGCTTCAGCTGTGCTGAGGCAGACTCAGAGGGCTGGGAGCCCTTCCAACCCACTCCATAGGGGTTCTCTGGCCCACTTTCAGTGGGGGGGTGATAGAGGAACTTGCTAAACCTCTGCCCTCTGCCCTCCTATAAAGGTATGTCTACACAGCAAAGTTATTTCGAAATAACAGCTGTTATTTTGAAATAATTTTACCAGCATCTGCACAGCTAAACCGCTTTTTTGAAATTAAATCTAAATAGCTGAGGGCTTATTTCGAAATTGGTAAACCTCATTCCACGAGGAATAGCACCAATTTCAAAATTGCTATTTCGAAATAAGCATTGTGTAGACGCTTATTTCGAAATAGGGGGCCTCCAGCCCTTCCCAGGGTGCCCTGATGGCCACTCTGGGCACAACCAAGAAAACTCCTCTCCTTCCCCCTCTCCCCAGAGCCCTTAAAGGGGGTAGACTCTGGCCACAGTGCCTGTGTCAGCTCCAAGCCTGCCAACCCAGAGCCAGCAGTCGCTGCACTTGACCCAGTGGCCCCAGCATGAGCTAGGCAGCCAGTGCCAGCCAGCCCTCCACCGCTCCCCAGGACCAGTCTGC